ATTTTAGGATGTAGTTAGGCAATTAAATATTCATGTATGTGTAAATTTATTACCATAATTGAAGGTGAGTCATGTAAATTTATGTTTTCATAAAGCAAGTAACTCCCCCACCCCCCAAGACCAATTTCCTAGGGGAAATGCTGAATGTTGTTATTTTAAACTGAACTTTTAAAGATCCTCTTATAAAAAAAGAGTTTCATTTAGTTCAAAGCATACAAAAATGTTCCCATGAACAAACTCCTGTGAACATGGTTCATACACATCACTGGCCACATATATCTAACACTCCTTCCTCACCGCTGTGACTGTCACGCCTCATTTAGAAACACATACAGCTGCTGTATCTCAAACAAAACCACTCCTGAACTGTCTCGCTCCTCTGTTCGAGCTTTGCACCCACCTTCCAGGGAGGTCCTCTTGCGAAGAGAGAGCCTTTCCAAGCGACGGTGCGTTTCAGCCAGGCTGAAGAGGACGCCGTAAGCATACTGCCTGGCAGCACGAAACAGCAGAGAGGCAGGAGGCAGCTCAGAGTTACACTCATCCTCTATACACACCGGCATCTTCATCTCTCCCTGAGGGACAAGGATGAATAAAAAAATACTGAAATAACTGGCAGACGTTTAGGGGGAAAACCTGATCGGATTAGAAGAGATGCAGGGGTGATAGTGGAAAAAAATCCTGAGCCTGGAAACCCCCCCCCCAACACACACGCACATTTCTGTTTGCATATGTTGATATTACCAATGTATTACTACCAAAAATAATCTTTACAAGGCAGATGTTGTTCAAGCAAATCAAGAAAAATGCAGTTTAAAATAATTTTGTACCGAGCAGATCTGTGATTACCTGTGATACATTTAAATATTAATTTAACAACACAACTGCAAAATCACCATTCCGGTGTCAACCTTTATCATCAAGCATCAACATGCACATTATGATGGTTTTTATGTTTAAAAAGATCAATATATGATCTTTGTTGTAGCTAAAATTTGAACATTAAAAACCTCATGACTGATATTTATACAGACAAACTGGTCAACAAAACAGAATCTATGTGAAAACCGGCATTTATATTTCACATTTAATTATTAAATATATTACACTTCTCATAAAGCCTGGTTCCAAATACAAACAATTTTGCTCATTAAAATCCCCAAATGTCCTGTTTGAAAATGGTACAATATAGTATATTACAGCTGAAATGATGGGATGTAAAACTATTATTAAATTATTATTAGTAGACCCAATAAGCCAGGTTCTGGAGCAGGTCTCTTCTTCCGCCTCCCCTACTGAGTCAGACCCATAGACTTAAATATGAAGATCACTAGACTGAGCCCCGCCCATCCCGTCCACTGTTAGTCTGTGACAGCATGGAGGAGCAGAAACAGAGACCTAACAAACAGCCTCCATAAAAACTAACAGATAAACAGCAGCTGAACCAGATCTGTTTCACAAATTATCTGTCATGTTTTTATAATAAATTAATAATTATGTTAATTTCATTCAACAATCATGTAAAACATCAGATTTATACCAGAAAAATATATAATTTATAAGTAACAATGATCTAAACCAGACCTGAAGTCAGCCTGTAACTTAGACTTTAGCTAGTTGAAAAATGATGACTTCAGCTAGTAATAAAGTATATTTATTATTTCTTCTTACCGTCATAAAAATAAGAATATTTATATTTACCAGTCAACAGTTAGAAAATGTTCTCTGGTTATAGGATGAAACTTGTCTCTATTAGCTAACATCTTCTTAACTGGTCAAGTTCCTCCAACAGAAACCTAAAAATACTTACATTTATAATATTATTTTACACTCTGTAGGACTAAATATTAATCAGAGGACAAATCAGCTGTAATATTTAATAGTTTGTGTTAAATTGTAGCATGACTCAACAGTGTTAAACTCTGTATACATGCTCCACAAGCTAATATCTGCTAACCAGTTCAATAAATAGAGATAACATCGACTTTATAAGATTATTTTAATTTTAAACTGCTACATTATGTTCTGCTCAGATCACATTGAGCTAAATAAGATCAAATCTGCTGACTTGTGTTGTAAAATGAGACGTTTTCCTGATTATCTTCTGTTAATAAATCCATAACACAAACAGCTTTTCTGGCATTATTTGAAACAGATAGATTATATAAACTGTAAAATATTAATAATAATTGGATTAATATTATTATTAATAGTTTTTATGATTTCTGCAACGTCAGTCTTTTATTTCTGCTCTGTTGTCAACATGTACAAATCCAGAGTCTTGCCCGTTTAGCCGATCACACGGTCACGTGGTTTTTGTGCACTCCTCTTTGGTCAGACCTCAGAGCTGCTCGCGTCTTTTTTCCCCTTAGTTCTGTAGTTTTTGGCTGCTTGAAAAATAACTTTAGGCTTTGGTCAGAGAAAAGATCGGAGGGTTTTTATTTTATTTTTTGGCTCTACAGAAAGATGAAGCCGACGGTGGATTGAGGTGTTTATTTCCACGGGATGTGTTTCCTGCTCGTGATGCGCATCAAACTGGACTGGCATTTTAAGAAAATAAAGTGTGGGGTACACCATTTATCATCGTTCCATTTCTTATCGTTCTGCTACACCTAACGAAACAATTAAAAAACTGGGTTAAAGTTTGAAGTCTCTACTTTTAGCTTGAATTGAAACTGAATCTCAGAGAAGGCGCACCTTTCCAGTTAAGAGCTGTTTAAATGGACCAAGTGATGCGCGGCAGAAGATAACAGTTAATTGACTGGAACATTTTTTAATCTAATAAACCATTATTTGACTCATCCCTACTTAATATTGTTAAATTACAACAACTAAGGAAACATAAACAGCCAGTTATAACAGATAGGCTGCACACTCCCGCATAGCGGCAGACAAATAACCTCTCTCACAACACCTGACTCCGTTTCTCTCGGTAAACACGCACCTGTTGGTCGGATGTTGTTTCCTGGGGCACTGTGATTAAAGCCATGCCTGCCTCCCTTCCCTACCTCCACCTGTCTGCTACTGTTCAGCTAACGTTAGCATCTATCTGCGAGGCTCGTCTCTCTCAGGGGAAGAAATCAATAAATATCTTTCCGCTGGTTTTTCTTCTCTGACAGCTGGTTTTTAAAAGTCCACCAGCTTCAACATCGTTTCCAGTTCTTTTTCAAACTTGTTCTAACAAAGAAATTTATTTTGAGCACCGCTACAACTTCTGCTGGATCAAAGTTTGTCGATGTCCAAGTCCCGCCTCCATCTGGTTTCTGATTGGCTAGTAGGCCTGTCTAGTGTGTTTAAAAAGAAATCTGTTTCTCTGATAGGCCCAGAGAAATGTCTGTTAAATTTGGCCGGACAGGTTTGATTTTATTTTTATTTTTTTCTTTCCCCTGGAGGAAAGCCAGAAATCCGGCACGGTGCCGAATTCCTACCAGCCCTGGAGATGGCATGTATTGCTTTGTTTCCCTTGTTTTAACAGTACTTCAGTCTTTTTAATTCTCAGACATTTAGAACATTTTATCTCTGAATCAATACAGACACACATCTCTATTAAGATGAACAGTGTACCTTTGTCAAAATGTGGAAAATCTGGGGGTACATAAGTCCTCTTCGGTGTCTGTGTTCAGCTACACGAAGAACCTCAGCACTGACCTGAAGAAAGAGAAACAAACAAGCTGGGAAAAGCTGAACTGAAACAAAACAAACAAAAAATTAAAATAAAAAAAGGTCAAGCAGCAGTCTGAGACAGAAAGCTCCACTAAAACCAAATATGATTGAAGGTGGCACTGTGACCAGCGAGGGCCTGAATGAATGTCTCATTTGTCCCTGTGATGGACTTGAGACCTGTCCAGGGTACAACCCGCCTCATGCACAATGACAGCCAGCGTTGGGCACAGCAGATTCATCTGAAGAGTCCCTGAATGGAAAAACTGGATGAAGAAAAAGTTGAGTGGATTGTTCTCTCTGTTTTGATGTACTTCAGTATATTTTCTGTGTATTTCATTATGTTGTCAGATTTGTCATGTAGACTTATAGGCTTGACGACAGTGTTGTAGTACTTGACACCAGTCTTGGTCTTCAGATCACTTTTTGATGGTCTTGTCTTTGACTCGACAGCATTTATACTCGGTCTTGCCTCGATCTCAGACATTGAGGACTCTGAATTTTATTTCAAAACCATTCAATACCACAACTTTGGAAATTAGGGGTAAATGGTAAATGGACTGTACTTATATAGTGCTTTTCTATCCATCCAGGACAGTCAAAGCTCTTCACACTACAATCTGTGCCCTCATTTACCCATTCACACAGCACTCTATTAGGTCTCTACAAAGCTAACGTATACAATCATCTATGGAGACTAATCAGTGCCAATAACATTCATACACTGATGGGACACACATCAGAGGCATTAGGTGTGAAGTGTCTTGCCCAAGGACACAACAACTGAGACAGCTGGACGGGGGATCGAACTGGCGACCTTCCGGTTCCAGGACAACTCCCCTAACCACTGCCACAGCCGTCCAAAAACAATAAAAAAAATAAATAAAAAAAAATCGATTCACATCAGAATCGTGATTCTTATTTTCAAAGAATCTGAATCAATTTAAATTGTCCCAAAATCGATCGCTGTCAGCCTCCATTTAGTAACTACGTGGGATGTCCCGACGGCACCTCGCAGCTGCTTCTGTAACGTTTCCATCCACAGAAAGCATCCAAACAAAGAGGAAACTACAAAACTGGAGGAAATAGAGATTGAGCTGTCACTGTCATTGAATGCAAAGATTCAGGCTCTCTTTGGTTTTTACTGAATGAGTGAGTTTGATTTGAGCCTCACTGTGTGCAAGGTTTGCAAAATGAAGACGAAGCACTTTGGGAACACAACAAATGGGTTCACATTATCAGGTTTGAATGAAAAATCGATTTTGKATCAAATCGTGGCCCCAAAAATCAGAATRGAATAGTGAGATTGTAAAATATTCCCACCACTATTGGAAATATCACTAAATAGCCAGATTATTGTCCAGTTTATTTGTCAACATTCTTGATTCCATTGGATTTAAAACATACTGATTGACAACAAGTGTGTGAAGGTTTGTCAATCCAAAGACTGCTGGACCAAATGTCACCCCCAGCAAAGTACTCCAGAGATGTTCTGACCAACTAGCTGGAATAATCATTTCAACCCTGCTTAAGTCTGCCACCTTATCCCAATCCTCCCCCAAACAGCTGCCTCAGAGGATTACAGGATTACTTGCCAATCAAACTCACATCTGTAATATTTTAATGTTTTGAGAAACTGGTCTTGTTATCACATCAAAGCCAGCCCGCCAAAATAAATAAACAAATAAATCACTGATGATGAAGAAATTAAGAAACTAATATTAAGTTCTTTTTTCTACTGAAGTGATTTAAAAAAAAGCCAGCCCGCCACCTTTGCTTGATCCTCTCAGTTTGAATAGAGAGAAAAGATTAAGGACAACATAACTATGATGTACACTGTGCAGAGTGACCTGGAAATATATACAGTGGAGTGCAAAAGTTTGGGCAGCCTTGTTAATTTTCCTGATTTACCTTTAATAATCATTGATTGTTTGGATTAAAAAAAACTGTAAAATATATCATATAGGGAACAAACACAGTGATATTTGAGAAGTGAAATGAAGTTGAAATAATTTACAGAAAGTGTGCAATAATTGGTTTAACAAAATTAGGCAGGTGCATAAATTTGGACACTGTTGTCATTTTATTGATTTCAAAACCTTTAGAACTACGGTAATTATTGGAACTCAAATTTGTTTTAGTAAGTTCAGTGACCCTTGACCTCCATYCATAAGTGGCTCCAACTATGAGAAAGGGTATTTAAGGGGGGTAATTGTAAGTTTTTCTCCTCTGCATCTGCTCTGAAGAGTCACAGCATGGGAGTCTSAAAACAACTTTCAYATGAGCTGAAAACAAAGATWGTTCACCGTCATGGTTTAGGGGAAGGATACAGAAAGTTATCTCAGAGATTTCAGCTTTCAGTCTCCACTGTCAGAAACATTGTGAGAAAATGGAGGACCACAGGCACAGTTCAAGTCAAGGATCGAAGTGACAGACCAAGAAAAATCTGTAATAAACAGAAGCGAAGGATGTTGAGAACAGTCAGAGTCAACCCACAGACCAGCACCAAAGACCTACAACATCATCTTGCTGCTGATGGAGTCACTGTGCATTGTGCAACTATTCAGCACACTTTACACAAGGAGATGCTGTATGGGAGAGTGATGCAGAGGAAGCCTTTTCTCCGCTCACATCACAAACAGAGCTGCTTGAGGTATGCAAGCCAGCTTCATTTTGGAATAAGGTGCTGTGGACTGATGAAACTAAAATAGAGTTATTTGGGCAGAACAAGGGCTGTTATGCATGGAGGACAAAGAACACAGCACTCCAAGAAAAACACCTGCTACCTACAGTAAAATTTGGTGGTGGTTCCATCAGCCAGTGGGACTGTGTGGCCAGTACAGGGACTGGGAATCTTGTTAAAGTTGAGGGACATATGGATTCCAACCAATATCAGCAGATTCTGGAGACCAATGTCCAGGAATCAGTGACAAAGCTGAAGCTGCTGAAGC